GGAGCAGAACATTTTGCTTCTGTTGCCATGTACCTGGCTAAGTCCAACCATTATTATCCCTGCTTAACTTTACAAAACGTAAGCTTTGCCCTTCCTGGACTGGTGAATGGCACCCCTAACATTAAGTCTCCATCCTGAGATTAGATTATAGCCTTGCTTTCACTGCTTCTCACTGCTTGGTCTTGGAGTTCTTAGCTGAGATTTTGCAAGTGGCAACAGATCAGTAGGTTTGTATTGCAGAGTTTTTCTTGATGGCCAGTAGCAGGAAATCCAAGTGTGTTGAGATGACTCTATCTCAAGGATCTTTGGAAAAATGAAAACAAACTGATATCAGAAAAAATACTGAAAATAAGAGAGTAAGTCGGTGTGGGTGACGGCAGCATATAATTGCTATATGGTATTTTAAAATTCTTGACTACGTTACATAGCATATAATAGGTACAGTATGATAAAAGTGCAGTGCTACATGTGGAAAAAAAAAAGTCTATTTCAGTCATTACATTGTTAACACGCGTCATATTGATGGCAAGAATTTTTTTTTTTTGCTTAGTGTTTCATGTGATGTCAGGCAACACTACGTATAACTATCTTGTGTGTTATTTTTCCTCCAATTTTTAATTTACAGAGCTTTCCAAGTATTCTACATCTATATTTCATGCTTTGAGTAGGTTCAATATTTTTAAGTATGACAAAGTTCAAGTAAACCTGACAGTAGAAAAAGTCACAAATACGTGCTGCTATTTGCTGACCAAAGGAGGTGGCAGCTGTTTTTTCAGAAGCTGTATAATGCTAACATTTAAACTGAACCAGGTGCATATCTGAGAAAATTATCTGTCAAATATTAAATGCTATTCAGAACAGGCACTGTATGATGTGTTAGATCTCCTTTCTGTCAAAAAGTAAATAATGTGGGAGTGTTCTGGTCAGGTTTAAAAATGAGAATCTTTACTGACCCGTACATAATTTTATCCTCAGCTGTATCTCTTTCCAGTGTTAGGAACACTGGAATGGTTATGAAAGCTGTGTGACAGAATGTAGCAAATAATGAGTTCTGCAAATTTACTTAATGACTGTTTACACAAAATTGGAAAGTACATTTTGTTGCACTTAGTGGAAAAGATCTTGCACAATGGAACTCTCAGAAGTCTGATGAGAACTTTGTCTGGCTTTGTGTAGCTGAAAACATGATGATCATAACTGCTGCAGCCTCAGAGCATGTCTAAGTGATGAAACCTGAATGTTTCCCAAAGCCTATGGCATTAATTGAAATGGAGAAGGCAGAAGATATTCCTCTCCATATGTTTCCATATTTTTTGCAGCTGCCTGTTAAACTAGTAGTGCTCTTTACCAAGAATTTTCATCTATTTGATCTGCATTTTTTTGTTGCTGTAGTCCAATCACAGCGTGTTATTTGAGTTGTACAAAAAGACAGATGTTGCAGGGAGAACGGTCCCCTCAGATTCTCCATTAAAAAATAGCCGGTGAGAGTGTTGCAGTGAGCCCTTGCATCATGTAAGAATGATGCCAAGAGAAGAGCGAGCCTTATGGCTGTCTGGTAGCTCCAGGCAAAGTGGCAATTGTTATCTTTTGAGCTCAATATGCCAACGTTTAATTGTGTTCATGTCATCCTTATTTGTGCAGTCGTGTTCAATTTTGTATTCTTTGCATCATCCCAGTGATTTCCAGTCTTTAAGATTGTTCATTTTCAGGTGACAATAAGGAAAGGCAAATGAACCACTCTCGCTTCCAAAAAGTGCTGTGGAAAACCTACAAAATCAACGTGAAGCACAGTGTGATTTTTTTTTCCACAGAAGCGTGAGAATTGTATACATATTTAAAACACAAGTGCAGGGCAAAGACTGGAGCAGAAAGGCCATCTTCTGCACTGTGGGGTTCTGATGTGTCTCCTGTAGTACCAACATTTAGGGGGAGCGAGAGAGATCTCATCTATGTCAGCTGCTTGCTATCCTAGCATGAACCATGAAGTACAGCATATGAGATGCTGTGCTTGCATCTTTCCAGGCACACACAGGTGTTTGTGAAGGGTTGGCAGTTAACTACTGGAGCCACTGTTGCCAAAAGGTTTGTTGTGTTGCTGAGGAGTACGGGATACAATATACTACGGCAAAATTAGTAGACTTCATAAATTACCTGTGGGAAGTTCTTAAACATTCTGCTGCTCTGCAAAGAGGCACGATACCACAGCTCCAGAGTAGTTCTGTCAGTGTAACAGAGCAGGCTCAGGCTTTCTGTACAAAGGAGAGAACCAGGAGTAGTATGAGTCTCATGCTTGAGAAGCATGCCTTTGTTTTCTGGTTGTTTTGCTGTCACTACATTATACACATTATACAGTAAATTTTCAGCCCAAATGACAAAAGCAAAAAAGAGCATGGGAACATGCAAAGATCTTGCAGCATCTTCCTCCTCAAAGTCTTTGAGTCCTTTGATGTAGGCATCATGAGAGATACACTTTGCCTGAGTTTGGCTAAACAAGAAAATGCTTGCTTTCTGCATAATTAGCCCTAATGACTTCGAACTACTTTGACAAACAGCAGTAATATTGTTAAGATGCTGTGGCAGAAAACATATCCTCTGCTCTCCATCAGATAAATGTCTGCACAGGTTGCTTTCTGCAAGCAATATTTCAAAGAAAGACAGGCTGCTGTTTTCTGGCCACTCTTTCCCTTTCAGCTGATGCTTTGTTTCTCCTTATTCTCTTGCTTTCTGGTAAGAGTCTCAGGATTGTCAGTGTTGGGAAGGACTTCTAGAGATCATTGAGTCCAACCCTCTTCCCCCCACTGGACAGCCTTTCCATTGCTCCATCACTCTGACAGTGAAGTTCTTTCTTCTGTTAGTATAGAACTTCCTGTCTTCCAGTTTCTGCCCATCACCCCTTTTATTGTTGCTCACCAGTGAAAAGAATCTGCCCCCATCGACTTGACTCCCACGCATTAGATATTTATAAACAGTTCATTTCACATTAAATTGACTGTTGTATCCAAAAGCTTTTAGTTCCAGTTCAGGTTGGATCCTGCACTGTATGAACATTGTTCAAGTCAAGCTTTTGATGAAATTCCTTCTTGCATCCTTTTATTTTTACATCTGCACATAGGAGTTATGCTCGTGTATATACCTTACTGTTGTAGGGTAGGCTTATGGAAGAGTTGAGGAAAATCAAGAGGAACAAGTGTAAGGTAACTGTGGGTCAGCTATCCTCACACAAAAACTTCCCAGACATCATTTCTGTCACTGCTTTCAGCATTGTGGGAACTGCAATGCAGTTGTGGTGGTTGGGGCTGCTGTCATTCTCATTATGATAAATTCACATCTGGACCTGGCCATAGCTAAGAAGTAAATGTGGGCACATCATATTTGGTTATTATAATTTTAATGTGAGCTGAAGCCTTCATTTATCCATTAGCCATTTTAGATTTGAAGTTCAGGGTGTTTGAGTGTAAGATGTAACATTCTGTCACTTTTATTTGGCAATTGCTGAAAAAAATGCTATTTTTGTAGTTCAGAGTGGGTTTTTTCTTTTTTTTTTTTTTTTTCTCTTGTTTTTCTTTTTTCTGGTAGGCTTCATTCAGATCTAAGTAAGTATAAAATCACATACGCAAAAGTAAGTGAATTTAGCTACTTTGTGTATGTGTCTGTCCAGAATGTACTCAAACTCATAACACATTGTAGTACCCAATATTTGTAAAAGTCACAGGAATTAATGATCCCATCCTGGTGCATTCATCAGGAAAGGAAAAATTATAGAGCCATTTTAAATCTCCCTTATAGTAGTAAAAGAAAAAAAGAGGAAAAAAGAGCCCTTTACAGAACAACAATCCTTAAAAAGGGGGCTGGGGAGTGCTCTCTCTGTAACTGGCATTGCTGTGAAGGGTCACTGGGTAGAAGTCAGTGGGATGGGTTGGACCCCTGCCTACTGTGTGTTGCAATACTTGACATACTTTGAAACTCCAAAGAGAAGGATATTGACTAGGTGGCACAGTTCTTTGAGGATCATTCTGTTTCTGAAGAATTTGGGGCTTGATTTTTTTCTGTACATGTCCAGTTCCACTCAAGGGTGGAATGTGCAATTGCAATACCCTAACTCTCTTACCTACAGGCAGGCAGTCTGTCTCTATTACCTCTGTTACCTCCAGCTGTTTCTGAAGCATTTTAAAAATGCTAATTATTTCTCAGCTAACTTTGTATGCTTTTTAAATTCTGCTATGTTCCTCTTCTGAAAGAATTTCAGAACATAATCCTTCAGATGACGTTCATTCATTTGGGTGCCATCATGATAACTAACTCAAAACTAGAGGGAATGTCCTTGTTCTCTCTCTCCCTCTCTCTTTTTAAAAGTTTCTATTCTAGCTTAGAAAAAGTCCTAAACTGAAACTACAAATAATCAGAACAAGATGAAATGTGATCCAGGCAAGAGTTAAAGGAATCTAGCATCAGAGGTTGTTATTTTTGGGTACATTTAAGCTTATCTGAAATTAAAGTCGGGTTGTATCAATCCATGGCAAGCTCAGTACAGCTAATATCTACATGAATGTGAAATAACATATGAATCACTGGAATAAATGGTCATGAAGTCTGTACTCAGATGTTTCGTCTTGCTTTGTAAATACCAAATAGATGCAACTCAAATTAATCATCTTTTTGAGTTTAAAGACTTGAAGGGCATTAGCAACATTCTGAAATTTAGTGCTTTATATAAACACAGTGGGGCCGAGAGCGGTAGGAAAAAATCAAAACATTCAAAGGCATGCAACTGGGTAATTCAATAACCCTCACATGTAGAGGCATTTCACACAGTGGGACTTTAACTTTATGTGCAGGCTGGCTGTATGCTGGGAGGCAGTTCCCCCACCCCAGCCCAACTCCATTTACATGCATAGCTGGCCTGGTAGGTGTAAAAATAGACAGGCAGTGCCTGAATTGGAAATGGTCACCGACTGCTGCCTGCAGTTGCTGGGGTTTCGGGTTCTCTGTGGCACAGGACGGGGGGCAGAAGGGGTTGGGGTGCTGAGCACAGGCGCACCCACTGCAGTCCCACTTGGAGGGGTCACCAGGAGAACTGCAATGGGCAATGCACCCGTTTGCCATGCATGTCACTCAGACAAGGGCATGAGGACACCAGGGAACATGCAGGACTTGGATAGAATCCCTGACTATTATGGATGCAACTGCGAAGAAAGTAAAGAACCTGAAGCCCGCGTAAGTCTTGGCTGAAGTAAACAGGAGTCGAAGGGGAAAATTATGCATGCCAGGTTTGAAAAAGGAATTGTTTGCTCAGCTTGCATCTTGCTCGATATCTTGCAGTATTCAGTCTGCAAGACATATTTATGTTCAAGTTCTGTTTTGTTGCGGTGACTAAATGTGATTAATAAGTAGCTGTTGCTAAGCTGTGCAGTAGCTAAGAAGTACTGTCAGCTACCCAAAGGTTTAGGTATATGGAGAGGACACCACTAGTGAAGCAAGTTCTGCAAATGAATGGATGTAATCAGCTATCCTAGTTTAATGTGACTACCGTAAATGATCCTACACTGTTTGTTCTCAGAACAGAAGTCGGGATCTGTCTGGTTTTTGGATTTTTTTATTTTTTTATTTATTTATTTTTTAATTTTAAAACTGTTTTCTTCAGTACATGATGTTACTTTGTGTGTTTGCAGCAGAGGATGTCTTTATGTAGAGTAGTGCGGCAGTGAACAGGAGGCAGGCATGCAAAGGAGGGTACACTGACAACTCTATGCAAGGCTGAGAGTTAGGCAAGCAGTAAGTGATAACAACAGTCGTGTCAAAAGAGAGTCTCTGAGACAGGTATTTTATAGTATTGATAGCAAATTAAGTGCCTTTGTTTTCCATTGTTTTCCCCTCTGTTTGACAAATTTATTTTTAAAATGGTTATTTTCATGAAAATCAACAAAAGGGCTTAGCATCAAAAATTCTGGCAGAACAAGATCAGAAAACCATACAAACTGATGCATTCAAATTTTATCTTGTCCCACCCATATTGATCTACAGTAAAATTGTTCTCGTCTTTTAGCTTTGCATTTGCATGGCTTACTGCAGTGCATAATAGAAACTATAGTTCAGAGGCGCAGCAGAGCTCAGAAGGGAAGAGGAGACTGGAGGTGCTCTCAGCAGTAGCTCACAGGAAGTTCTGACTGTCCCAGAAGAACATATGCTTGATATTGTCTCGGTTTTCTGGTAGGAAAAAAAAAAAAAGAAAAAAAAAAGATTACTGAAATTTTTCTGACCAGTTCTGCTTTTTTACCTGACCACACAGTTGGATCAATTCTTCAGTAATAAAACTTAGTTCAAGTTAAATGATAAAATCAAGCTATTTCTTTGAGTTTTCAGGCAGCTTTTTTCTCTTACCAAGCAGTTTTTGTTTAATTAAGAAATAAGCTCCAGTATTTGTGATGGGAAACAGCAGTAAGGAAGAAAAGCAGTGAAAGCACAGAGCTTCCTGGCATGGCCAGAGATGGAGGGAGGATGTCTATTTTATTTTGCTTTGGACAGACAGTATAATATTTCCCTTATGCTGAGGCTGTTAGGCAATGTATGGAGGTTCCCTGTGGTAAGAAAAACTCAAATAAGCAAACTCTGCAGCAGTTCCCCCTGCTTGAATTTACAGTCCCAGAGCTGCTCTTCTGCATAAGGTCTGGTCTGTGAGGAGGCAGGAGCAAACCAAGTCCAGCAGCATGTGATTTTAACCTTGATTATTTTTTTAGATACTTCCTTAGTTCGGCCTTCAGAGCTTTTCATAGCAGGCAGAGATCAGGCATTTTGATAATGGGTTTGATAGGTATTTCATTGTAAGATCCTGGCTTTGGATCTTTGGTTTACCTGTGGTAGTTCAGATGCTACAGTCCTTTGAAAATTTGAAAGGAATATAGCCTGCCTTATTTCCCTAGGAAGAATGCAGTTCATTATTATATTTATTTTTATGATTCCTTATAGAAAAATTTAAAAATATATATCTGTAGATTAGAAATGTCAGTCATGTTTTGTCCTGAAGGGAGAAGTTGTACATTGTTTTCTCTCAAACAGGAATATAGCATCCAGCACAATACCTGTTAGCTCAAGGCTTCCTGTGCCTCTTTACGGCTGTGGCTGTGCTTGCGGTTTTAAGGGTGCCTGAGAAGGGATGCTACATCAAGCTAAGTGTGACGACTCCATGAATCTTCTACCAGATATGAAGTATAGAGTAATTTACCTGACACTTGGTGAATTCATGTGGCAATATTGCTGTTCATGATCTAATCTTTCTAAGCCAAAATCAAATACAGTCTGCTGACCCATCTTGTTGAAGAAATCAGGAGTATGTTTGTACGACTCTCTTGAGTTGTCTACATAATGCAAAATAACTCACTTAAATGGGGAGATAGATGCTGTTCTGAGTTCACCTTTGAAGTAAAAGCAGTATTTCAAAACAAAAATCCAAACTACTTTCACAATCATACATTGCAGATTTTTTTTTTTTTTTAATGTGCTGCTACCAGGAGATCTCAGGTGGCTGAACACTGTGGTTCATGTGGCTCATCGCATTTGCTGTGCATTGATTTCCCTCCTTGATGTTTAACTACCTTCTTATTTGCTCTTGAAATTATATTTGCTCTTGGAAGGCTCAGGCGCCCCCAGCAGAGATTCTTGCTTTGCAGGTAAAGCCGTGGTGATGTGGGCTTTGGCATCGTGACGCAGGGCAGCAGGACACTTGGTGTAGGGAGCTGGTTGCAATGCAGCAACACTGAGAAGTGATGAACTGGTAGGCTGTTTCCAAAATCTGGGAAGTATCTGTGACTGGAGGGTGTGGGGCTCGTGATCCAGATTATTCTGCTACACCCATTACTACAGCATGTGGAATTGGAGCCAGAAAGTTTTAAATAGGAAGAGGAAATTGCAAGTTTCCAAAGTGGGGGTTTTACAGGTGGTGGAAAATACAGCCGAAGAGCCATTCATTCAGGTGAAGTTAGATAAAATTTGTTCTTTTGTCTGATGACCAGAGCAGAATTATTTGGAATTAAGCCCCAAGTTTACAGAAGTTTTGTTTCCATGGTAGTGTTATGGGAGGAATTAAGGGGGCGCTGACTGGTTAACATTGTAACCACTGCATACACATCAAGTGTCATGCTTAAGGAGGAGAAGGATTTTGTCTGCTTTGAATGTGCTTCAGGTGTAACTCCTTGCCAGCTGGGAATAAGCTAATGTCAAGAGACAAAAGGAAATTATCTGTGTTGGGTACTGGGCTACTTGTGCATGAATCCTAAAAAAAAAATCTACTAAATGAAACTTTTCTTCTTCTCCCACAAAAGATGGAGTTATAAGTAATTCAGTTACTGCTTCACATTCTACTTTATCTTACTTTACAGGAAGGTGTTTAAGATGAGTCTTACTGTCAGAACTGGCTTTCAATTAGAAACCACTGCCTTTCAGTAACACCCATTTTGTTTGCATCTATTTTAGTCCATCTCAGTGGAACATGAAATCATTTTTTTCTGTTTATGGTGCCAGTAAATTTGAATCAATTGGCAATCGGTTAATGGTGTTTAGGTAAGTAAAGCTGTCTGATCTGTCTGATTCATTAGCACTGATAGTGTTAGCATGTTTCTCTTAATAGAAAATATCCCTTCAGTGACAAGATCAGATAGATAAGGATGAAAAATTAATGACAGAATTCTTCATCAACTATCTGTCATAAACTTCATTTATAGGCTGGATTTTGCTTAGGTGTCTTTGGAATGGCATGCTAATACTTTCTAAAGGTGTTCTCACATTATTACCATTATTTCTCCATGTAGGGCCATCGTTAGTAATGGAAACTTGACGCAGACATCATGTAGATGCCTGCCAACTTCCGAAGGGGTTCCAAATATCCCCAAATCTCAATATGTGGTGCCCAGATGATCCAGTATACTACTGCTTCCTTTAGTATTATTCCATTCCTTTAGTGGAAATCTTGATTCCATACCAGAATTGAAGAGACTTCAATGAATGGAAGTGTCACACAGGAGAAAGGAGACTGATCTTGTGGTTCAGTTGAATATTCTGTGAATCCTTTCTGTTTCAGTAAATGATAAAATTAGACTTCCACTCAAATTTCAGTTCAGGAAACTTTTCCAGTAAACAAAAGGATTATCTATTCCTACTCTTAGAGTAGAATGAAAGTTGTAATAAAAGATAGGAAGATTTTTCTAGTTTTTAGGATCGCTTAGACTATGGTAAAAGCTTTTATTTTTTAAACCCATCTTTTATTAATTTGCAGGGGTTTTTGTTTTGGTTTTTCTTTTCTTTCCTTTTTTGAATCTAGGCTGTGTTTCTGTTTCACGTTCATCCTGATCACTGTAAATTTGACTTGCACGCTTCGTTTCCAAGCTGGGACTTACCCCAAATTTTATTTATGTATTAATTTTTTAAGGGTGTGAATAGCCCAGTGGGATATGGGGGGTTACATACGTCTGAAGCTCAGCTAGTACTGGTGTGTTGTTCTGGATTAAGCCTCCATTATTGATGTGGCTTTATACTTTAACATCAGTATGGATTAAAATAACATTGTTTCAAATACAGAATCAAGAAGGAAACTGCAGCTGAAAAAAGGCTTCTGCAGGGTTCTTTTTCATAGAAAGCTATGCAGTTTTGCCTCTGTTCTCACAAATCCTTCATTGACATAGTAAAAGTCAGCTGGCAGTATGTCCAGTATGCCTAGTTAATGAACGTAGTGGGAGGACTCCTACAGCTGTCTGTGGCAGCTAAGTATCATAAAGGTTTTATAGAGGACATTTGTTTCTTGGCTCAGAGAAGGGTTGATTTCACATTAGTTTTCTCTTCCTCTTTTGCTGCTGCTGTTGCTAATCTTGGCCCAAAGTCAAGAAAACAGTTATGTATATATCCATCCTTTGGCGATGAACATGATTAATTTGAGATCTATTTGGTCCAAAGATGTGGTAAAAATTCAGCAAATGCTGATTTGCTGAACATAGTCACTTATTCTTTCCATGGTTAAAAATAAGTCCAAACTGATTAAATATTTGTACATTACACTGGAAAGAAAAGAATGGCTGGAAAATGTATGATCTGCAAATACTAAGATTTCTAAAAGGAGTTTTAAAAACTGTTCAGCTGTCACAGAATAACAACCAGCACAAATAATTGGGATTTTTCCCATCATTATGGGAATAATGGCATTGCAATACAGCTGTAGTTTTATAATGAGC